CTGTTGCAGACTAATTTACAATGAGAAAATTCATTTCTTGGTGTTGGTGGTTGTTGTGTGCCGTTGAGTCTGAACCGACCCATAGTTGACTCTCCTGTGAATTTTTAGAGGCAGTAAATCACATGGGAGGAGATTGCTCTTCCTTCTCCTGAGGAGCAGCTGTTGGATTCAAACCTTGTGCCTCTGTGATTGCAGAGCAGTTTTATACCACTAGACCATCAGAGCTCTTTTATGTACTACATTACAAAACATTCATATATAATCAAAATGTGTTAGCAGTAGGATAGAAGGAATTAAAATACACTGGACAGTTGTAAAATCATGAAACTATTTTTCCATGATTCAGACTTTTCCTTTATGTATGCAAAATATTCAAGTAAATCTCTATAGATAATTCTAAAAGTAAAGTTACTTTAGAGCATTATAAAAATGTACTATATTAATATTATCTGTGCAGAAATATGTTTGAACTAACAAACAATATTTCAGACACTTGCTTATGCTCAGAATACTATATTCTGAGTAAGGAATGGATGTTTAAAGAGACAAAGACTACATCATAAAAAGTGAAATTTTATAAAAAGAGAAGTACTAGAAATTTCAGACTTCGTTATTCTTAAGTGCTGTTGAAATGATCCCCACAACATCATACAACAGAACAAAACACTGTCTACCTCTGTACCATCCTCTCAATAATAGCTATGTTTAAGCTCATTGTTTTATCCAGTGGGTCAGTCCAGCCATTGAGTGTCTTTTTTTCACTTACCGTCTAGTTTATGTTTCATCCAAGTCATGGTATTTTCAGTTAGTTCCTCCAGATTTCTTGGCACAACCTGGTGAGCATGTCCAGAGCTGCATCCTTTTGTTGAAATATGTCAATTGGTATTCCATCATCAATTCCTGGGGCCTTATTTTTTTTTTGGCACTTCCTTCAGGACAGCTTGATTTTCCCCCTTTATTGTCATTGGTTCTTGATCATATGCTACTTCATGAAATTATTCTGTGCCAACCAATTCATTTTGGTGTAGTGAATCTGTGTATTTCTTCCATCTTCTTTGATGCTTCCTGAATAATTCAATATTCTTTCCAAAACATCTTTAAGTATTGCAACTTGAGACTTGAATTTGTCCTTCAGTTCCTTCAGTTTGAGAAATGCCAAGTGACTCTGTCATTTGATTTTCTGACTCCAGCTCTCTGCACATTTCATTATAAGACTTGGCAAGGTTTTCATGAGCCGCCCTTTGAAATCTGTTTAACTTTATTTTTTTTCCTTTGTTTTGGCTTCTTGGAGTTCTACGTCAATATTCGTAGTCTCATTTTACGTCCTTCTCAGACTTTTCTTCCTCCTCTGTCTTTGTAATGACCTTCGTTTTCTTCATGGATAATATTCTTGATATCATCTGACAGCTCATCTGGTCTTTGTTCATTAGTGTTGAAGACCTCAAGCCTGTTATAGAGATGGTTTTTAAATTCAGGTGGGATAGACTCTAGGTCAAATTTTGGTTGTTGTGGATTTGTTTTTGTTTTTTTATTTTCTATTTGAACTTGCAAATGAATAACTGATGCTCTGTTCCACAATCAGCACCTGGCCTAGTATTCATACAGCTGATATTGAGGTTCTCCAATTACTCTTTGCAAAGATGTAGTCAGTCTGATTCTGTGTAGGACCATCAGTGAGGTCCACGTATATAGTTGCCATTTGTGTTTCTTATAAAAGGTATTTGTGATGAATAAATCATTGATGGTACAAAATTTTATTATTCTGCCTCCAAACTCATTTGTTACCAAGTCCCTATTTTCTGACTACAGATCCTTTTTCCTTGTTCCCAACTTTTGAATTCCAGTCACCAATTATTATTAATGCATGTTTGATTGATTTGAGACTGCAAAATTTGGTAGAAATCTTCTATTTCCTTCTTTTTGCCCTAGTTCTTGGTACATATATTTGAATGGTAATGGTACTAGCAGGTCTTCATTGTATCCCTATGGATAGTATCCTGTCACTCAGAGCATTGTTTTTAAGGATGGATCTAGAAATGGACTTTTTTTTACTATGAATATGACTCCATTTACCCCTCACATGTCAATGGTATTCCATCAATTCCTGGGACCTTATTTTCTTGCCAATCCCTTTAGTGAAGCTTGAACTTGTTCCTTCATTACTATTGGCTTTTGATCATATAGTACTTCCTGAAACATTTCAATGCTGGCCAATTCTTTTTGGTACAGTGACTCTGTGTATTCTCTCCATCTTCTCCTGATTCTTCTTGGATCATTCAAGATATTGCCCATTGCATCTCTCGGTATTACAACTCGAGCATTAAATTTGTTTTGTAGTTCTTTCAATTTGAGAAATGTCAAGCGGTTCTTCCTTTTTATTCTCAAATTTCAGCTCTCTGCATATTCTACTATAATACTGCTTTGTCTTCTCCAGATGCAACTTTGAACTCTTCTATTCAGCTCTTTTATTTCAGCATCTCCACCCTTTGTTTTGGCTTCTCGATGCTCTGGTGCAATTTTCAATGTCTCTTCTGACCTGTATTTTCGTTTTCTTTCTCCTCTGTCTTTGCAGTGACCTTTTGCTCTCTTCACAGATGATATCCTTAATATTATCCCACAGCTCATCAATCATTGGTATTCAGTGCCTTAAACCTATGCATAAGATGATTTTAAATTCAGGTGTAATTGATTCAAAGTCATATTGTGGTTTTATGAATTTGTTTCCATTTTCTCTTCAGCCTCAATTTGAAATTGTACATGAGTAATTTTTTTAATTTTGTTAATTTCCCCACACACTTTCCTTCATTGTCACTGTGTTTCATACAATCATTCCCATACATTGTGTTTTATAAAATTAATCACCATTGGACTATGGCCATCATTACTCTATCATTTCAGGTTCCCGCTATATCATTTCCATTTCCTTTACTCCCTCCCTCCATTCACCAAATTGTGCAACCCTGTGATTTCTCTCCTACCCAGCCTCACTCCTCTGCTCCTACCCATTCCCCCCTTGGACTGTCATACATGTTTTACTAGTTATCCTTCTATTTTTACAATAATTGTCTTATGCAGTATTTGTCCTTATGAGACTTGCATTAGTTAACTCACCATAATGCTCTGCAGACTCTCCCTAGATATGTAATATTTTTCAAAACCACTTTTTCTGAGTGCTGCATAGTATTCCGTTGTGTGAATGTACCACAGTTTCTCAATAACTTTGGTTGTGGTTGGGTATTTATGCTGTTTCCATGTTCTTGCAATGGTGAATAACACTGCTGTGAACATTGGCATACATATATAAAAGAGTCACAAGCAACTCAATGGTACATAACAACAACAGCTGGATACTAAGGTGCATGTGATACAGGCCATGATCTTTGCAATCAGTTGCATCAGAGAGTTGGACAATGACTAGGGAGGATAGAAGGAGAGTTGATGCCTTTGAGCTGT